GTCGGCTAGACACCCGCAGACCAATGGGCAAGCGGAGCGGAGTCAATGCCATCATGCAGCAGTACCTGAGATGTTATGCGAATCAACAGCCTGCGACGTGGGTGGATTACCTGCCTCTCGCCGAGTTCGCCTACAACAACACGAAGCACGTGTCCACGGGAGTCACGCCGTTCTTCGCCAACACCGGGAGCCACCCCAGCACCTGCCCGGGACTGGAAAGATGGGGGGGGGGGAGCCGCAGACAGCAGATGCATTCGCGTCGGAGTTGCAGGAGGTCCACGATCAGCTGCGGCGGCACCTGGAGCTGGCTAAACACGCATACAAGGTACAAGCGGACAAACACAGAAGGGTTGGCGAAGAGATCCATGTGGGAGACTGGGTCTGGTTAGCAGCCCACGCAGTGCCGGCCAGGTCGTTGGCGAAGAAGAAACTAGGGCATAAACAACTGGGGCCCTACCAAGTCGAAGAACAGGTCAACCCGGTAGCTTTCAGGCTGGCTCTTCCGGAGGGTTCCAGAATGCATCCGGTGTTCCACAGATCGGTGCTCACTCCCTACAAGGCACCTCACAGGTTTCAGGAACCAGGAACGGCACCGGGTCCGCTCCGAGAGAGAACCGGGCAGGGGGGAGTGGCACGGGAGGAGCGCATCAACGAAGTCACGGAGATTTTGGACTCCAGATGGGGGGAAGAGGGGGTAGAATACCTTCTCGCCAAGGAGGGCACCCCGGCCAGTGCCAACAGCTGGGTGCCGGGCTACGCTTTAGACGAACCTCTGCTCAAAGAAGAGTTTCATGCCCTCTTCCCACATAGGCCAATGCCAGCAGACTTTTCGACGACTGGCTTTTCACGCCCACGCTTTCAGCCAGCACGTTCCGGGGGTTCGACTCGGACGAGGAACCGACACGAGACGCCCGTTCCCCGGAGGGGTCACCCTCAGGATCTGCTTCAGAACCCTCGTATTGGTGGGATGATCGACCAGAGGAGCAGTTCCGTAGAAGGTGGCTGGAGGTCCCAGGACGAGCAACGTCTCCAGAAGGCAACGGGGAGAGACGGACATGGACTTTTTCGGGGACGACCCGGGTTTCGAGCACGGCGGCACAGAGATGGAAGCGGAGGTGACCGTCGTCAACGAGAGCAGGGAGGAAGAACCGGAAGACTTCAGATGGCGGCCCGCCACGGGAAGCGAACTGTATCCGACATTCGTCCCCATGACAAGGCACCACACAGATCCAGCACAGGAAGGAGGGGAGGGGGAAGAGGGGGCTTCGAGGGGGATGGATGTCAGGGGTTCAGGAGCAGAGGCAAGGGCAAGGGAGGAAACAGAGAGCGAGGGGAGGAGGCAGAAGAAAAGATGAGTGATGACGACGACCCGAGATCTCCGAGTCTTTCCAGTGAATCAGAAGATTCACAGAAAGGAGCACCAGTGGCCAGGGCAAGGGGGGAGCCTAGGGGGACACCCCAGGAAGATAGAGCCAGAGGGGACTCAGAGGGGAGCAGTTGGAAATCGGGACCAACGTCACCGCCAGAGAGCAGGGAAGAGGAAGGGCACCAGGGATCAAGCGCTGGCAACTCACAACAGGGGAGGGCACGAGTCAGGAGTGGCCACACCTCCATCGGGGAGCGAAGAAACGGTCAGACGGAAGGTGGAAGGTTGGGCGCGCGCGCCAAGTTCAAATGCACAGGAAGGTGGCGCAGTAGGCAGCCCGGAAAGGGAGCCAGGTCCCAAAGCCCGCCGAAAGGAGGGAGAAGAGTCAGGGGAGTCAGCGTCAGCGTCAGAGGAATCCCGGAAGGAAGAGACCCCGGGGGGGCAGAGGGACCCAGAGAAGAACAGTCAGGCGGAAAAGGTGGAGCAGGGCTAGGATATTAAGTTGGTGTACAAGGGGCGGAGACTCAGACGGAGCTTCGCCGGTCTAAGCATGAGACGTAGAGTTGCACGCAGCAGCTTGAGAATGGAAACTGTAACTCAATAAAGACTTTTGCTTAATGATCGCTGGCTAGCGTGATCCTCTGTGAGCTAGGATCTGGAAGCAGCTCTGACAGCTGGGAAAAGGACTCCCTGGCAGTGAGGGACTTGTTTTGGGAAGGGCTTCATGGCTCAGTGAAAGATGAGCTGGCTAGGGGAGACAGACCTCAAACCCTAGCAGAAGTCGTGCAGAGGGCACTCACGATAGGGGTGCGCCAAGAAGAACGCCCTTGGCACAGGGAGGAGGGGCGTCACGTCCGCCCACCAGCTAGAGCGCCTCCTTTTCCTTCCAGGGACTTGGAACGTTCAAGCCTTTCGCCTGTGCTGGCAGCGGGGAAGAACTGATGGAACTGGGTGGTGCAAAGGCTCAGACAGCTGCCGGAGCCTCAGCGTCAGGAGCAGTCAAGCGAAGCCTCCTAGAGGGACCAGGAAGTGTTACATCTGTGACAGTGCACGGCACATGGCTAAAGAGTGTCCCCAGAGGCTCCAGAAGCACACTGCAGCCTTAGCAACAGTAACGGGAAGCTTTCCAAGGGGAGCAGTTTCAGGGAAACGAGAATGCCTGGTTGGAGGGAGAGACGCTGGGGCTCCGCCAGGCAAGTCAGTGAAGCAGTCCCCAGCGCTTTTGCAGCCTACAGACCCCTTACCACCTAAGCCAGTGGTGCAGCTCACTGCTACTCTCCAGCTGCCTAATGGACTCACCCTGGAAGTCCCCATTACGATTGACTCAGGGAGCAACGCAGACTTCGTGGGGGTGCAGTTCGTCAAGCAGCATCGCATAGCCTTACTACCAGCCACGCTGCCTCTGAATGTGGTCACTGTAGATGGCAGGAAGTTGCTGGGTGGGCAAGTGGTACAACAGACGCCACCCATGCTGCTGAAAATTGGAAATCATCGCGAGGTCATCAGTTTCAATGTCACCCAACTGTCAGACACGCCCATAGTGTTAGGCATGAGTTGGCTGGATAGACACAGCCCATCCTTGGCGTGGTACCAGCGGCAGCTCACCTTTGGCTCGTCCTACTGTGCACAACATTGCATCCAGATCGGCCAGGACCAGGAGGACCAGGAGGAAGGGCAACAGCTGCATCTAGGCATGGTGCAGGCAGTGCCCCACAAGTACAAGGGGTTTTTGGAGGTCTTCTGCGAGAAGGAAGCTGACCAATTACCACCCCACCGGCCCTACGACTGTGCAATTGACCTCTTACCAGGGGCGACGCTGCCGACTGCGAAGCTGTATTCCATGTCTGAAGATGAGATGCAGGAGCTCAGGGAGTTCATAGATCACAATTTGAAGCGGGGATTCATCCGAGAATCCAAGGCAGTGGGGGCAGTCCTGTGTTTTTCGTGAAGAAGAAGGACACGCCCCAAAAACGGCTCATTGTGGACTATAGGGCCATAAACTCGATGACAAAACCCAAGGCTTTCCCCATGCCCAAGATTGACGACCTGCTCGCGACGGTAAGGAAGGGGAGGATCTTCACCAAGTTGGATCTACGCGGAGCCTACAATCTCATACGCATGAGGGAAGGTGACGAGTGGAAGACGGCCATGTTCACGCCGCTGGGCACCTATGAATACAGAGTTATGCCGTTTGGTCTCCAAGGTGGCTCCCACTGCTTTCAAGCATTCATGCACCACGTGCTAGCAGGACTCCTCTACAAGAAGTGCGTATGTTTTCTCGACGATATTCTGATCTTCTCGGAATCGCAGGAGACTCACGAAAGAGACGTAAAGGAGGTCCTGCAGAGGCTACGGGAGCACAGACTCTACGCCAAGCTGGAGAAGTGCCAGTTCGACGTGACGGAGGTGGATTTCCTGGGCTACCGGCTGTCCGACAAGGGATTAGCCATGGACAGCGCCAAGGTCCGCGCGGTGTTGGACTGGAATAGCCCGCGCAATCGGAAGGAGGTCCAGAGGTTCGTCGGCTTCGCCAACTTTTACCGCAAGTTCATCAGGGGTTTCGCGAAAGAGACGGCAGCTATCACGGACACCCTCAGTTCCAAGAAGAAAAAGTTCACCTGGACGGACCAGGCGGAGCAGTCCTTCAGGAGACTTAAGAGTCTCTTCGCGTCCGAAGACCAGCTGCTACACGTGAATCCCGGCAGGCCCATGCGGGTTGAGACTGACGCATCTGACAGAGCAGTGGGGGCCGTCCTCTTGCAGGAAGATTCGCAAGAGAACTGGAGGCCCTGCGCTTTCTATTCCCGGAAGCTCAGCAAGTCGGAACAGAACTACACCATCTGGGACAGGGAGTTGTTGGCCATCCACGCGGCTTTCAAGGCGTGGCGGCACTTCCTCATCGGAGCCAAGCACACCGTGCAGGTCCGCACGGACCACAAGAACCTAGAGTATTGGCGCACGGCGAAGCTCCAGAGCCAGAGGCACATGAGATGGGCGGAGTTCTTTGCTGATTTCGATTTCCGGATAGAGTATATCCCGGGAGACAACAACGTCATAGCGGATGCGCTCGTCAGGAAACCGCAGTATCTTGAGGAAGCGGCACCAGTGGCAGCCAGGCACATTTTTGCACCGCAAGCGTGGGCGTGCGCTTCTGCCGCCGTGGACCTGGACGCGGTACGACGCGCGTTACAGACGGATCCGTTTGCACAATCCAAGATGGAGGAGGTGCGAAGAGGGACAGCAAAGGACGGCGAATTCCAGATACGCGACGGCCTGCTGACCCGCAAAGGTGCTCTCTACGTCCCGGGAGACGATCTCCGAGCGAAGGTTTTGCAGCAGTTACACGACGCCCCCAGCGCGGGTCACTTCGGCAAGGAGAAGACGGCGGACTTAGTAGCCAGGGACTTCTGGTGGCCCCAGATGCGGGGAGAAGTCGCGGATTACGTCGCCAGGTGTGACACTTGTCAGAGGTCCAAGCCAGTGCACAAGAAGCCAGCGGGATTGCTGGAACCGTTGGAGACGCCACTGCAGCCGTGGGAAAGGGTGGCGCTGGACTTTGTCACTGATCTGCCCAGTTCGCGGGGCAAGACGGCGGTGCTTGTGGTTGTAGATCTGTTCACCAAGATGGCGCATTTCATTCCTTGCGCGAAGGTGGCAACAGCGGAGCAGACCGCCAGGCTATTCATAGACCACGTGTTCCGGGTGCACGGCTTACCACGGTCCATTTTGTCCGACCGGGGTCGCCAATTCATTTCCAGTTTCTGGCAGAAGCTCCTGGGCATCCTGAATGTCAAGATCAACTTAGCGTCGGCGAGACACCCGCAAACCAACGGCCAAGCGGAGAGGGTCAACGCCATCATGCAGCAGTACCTGCGCTGTTACGCCAATCAGAAGCCGGCAACTTGGGTGGACTACTTACCGATGGCCGAGTTTGCCTACAACAACACGAAGCACGCGTCAACGGGGGTGACACCGTTCTTCGCCAACAATGGGCGACATCCCAGAACATTCCCGGCGTTGGAGACAACGACACAGGGGGAGTCGCAGGGAGCGGAACATTTAGCAGCAGAATTGCAGGAGGTCCACGAGGAGCTACGACGGCACTTGGAACTGGCTAAACACGCCTACAAAGTGCAGGCAGACAGGCACAGGAGGGCAGGAGAAGACATCCAGGTGGGGGACTGGGTATGGTTAGCAGCCCAGGCGGTGCCGGCCAAGTCGTTAGCTAAGAAGAAGCTAGGACACAAACAGCTAGGGCCATACCAAGTTGAGGGCAGGATCAATCCCGTAGCTTTTCGGTTGACCCTCCCAGAGGATTCCCGAATGCACCCGGTCTTTCATAGGTCGGTGCTTACACCCTACAAGGCCCCACACCGATTTCAGGAGCCAGGGACGGCACCAGACCCACGTAGGAAGTCACCAGGGGGAAGTCACCGAGGACCCCGACACTCAACGAGGCCACGGAAATTCTGGACTCGAGATGGGGGGAGGAGGGAGTGGAATACCTCCTCGCCAGGGAAGGTACCCCGGCCAGCGCCAACAGTTGGGTGCCAGATTATGCTCTGGAGGAACCTTTTCTTAAGGACGAGTTCCATGCACTCTTCCCACACAGGCCCATGCCAGAGGAGTATTTTGACGACTGGCTTTTTACCCCCACACTTTCAGGCAGCACCTTCCGGGGGTTCTCCTCCGCAGAGGAGACCACGCCGCAATCGAGCCCTCCAAGGGGATCGTGCTCGGGGTAGACACGGACCGCTCTTATTGGTGGGACGATCAACCAGAAGTGGGGTGGCGAAGGGGGCCTTGGCAAGCAGCTTCGCCTGAAGTAACAGGGGGGGGAAGGGTTTGGAGGTGTTGGGGGAGGACCCTGGTTTCGAGCACTCCTACACTGAACTGGAAGCAGAGGAGATCGACGTCGACGAACTGTATCCAGCATCTACCCCCGCTACAACGAAGCTCCCGGAACCTGCGCCCGAGCTGCGGGTGGGGGATGGGGGGGGGCTTCGAGGGGGGGATGGATGTCAGGGGTTCAGGGAGAGAGGCACAGGGTAGGCAGGAGATGGAGAGCGAGGGGGAGGAATTCCAAGCCAGCGAGGAAGAGGATGACAATGACTCAAGAGATTCCATGAGTCTTTCCAGCGAATCAGAGGATTCCCAGAAGGGGGCGCCGGTGGTCAAGGCCAGGGGAGCCCCAGGGGGGAAGTGTCAGGAGCAGGGTGCTAGCGGAAGATCCCAAAGTGGCAGCTGGGCGTCAGGACCAGCCTCCCCACCAGAGTGCAGCGAAGGGGGTGGAGTTTCCAGTGTGTCAGAGGAAGCAGCTCCAGCAGCAGAGAAAGGAGGGGGTTCAGAGCAAGCCGCCCTCCCGGACGGGGAGGGAGCAGTGAAGGGAGTAGTGTAACTGTCAAAAGGAAAGTTAGAGGTTTGGCGCGCGCGCCTAGTTCAAATGTAGAGGCGCGCGGAAGTGCAGGGAGCCCGGAGGAGGGGCCAGGTCCCAAAGCCCGCAGGAGGGGGGAAGAGCAGTCTGGGGATTCCGCATCAGAGGAATCCAGGAGGGGCGAAACCCCAGTGGGCAGAAGGACCCTGCGGAAAAGGAAGGAGAGAAAGAGGTGGAGCAGCGCAAGTCTCTTAAATTGGTGCAGGGGAGGAACTGACTCAGAGGGGACTTCGGCGGTCTAGCGTAAAAGACGTAAGGCTGCGCGCCTAGGATGTCAAGCAAACCATGAACTGCAATAAACACTTTTGTATATAAGAAGACAGAGGCGTTGGTCTTTTGTGAGCTAAGACTTGAGGCAGCCTTGACAGTATCCTTCCAAAAGAATTTAAAAATTATAATGTAGCACCTTAGAGACCAACTGAGTAGTTTTCGTGTGCATGCAGACTTCTTCAGATACACTGAAACAGAAGTCACCAGACCCTTCTTTAGTTATACCTTAGTTGGTCTCTAAGGTGCTACTGGACATTAGTTAGAGAAATCAGTAGTTAGAGAAATAAAAGAAGCAAATCCTCTTTGCCAAAACAGCCCCTATTGGAATCAATGATTCATTCATTCACTTATTCAAGTTATATCCTACTTTGCCAACTTATTGACTATGTCAATAAGTTATTATTAATTGAGATTAGGAATACACTAGGGATTAGGGGAGAAATTCAGTTCAGTTCACATTTAAAGGCAAACCTACCAAATCTGCAGTTGCTGAAACAATACAGAAACTGAAACATCCATCCTTCAAAATTCGTCCTTCTCTGAATTGCAGCTTCCCAGCCAAAGAATGGGCACCAAAATTCATATACCAAGGTAAGGTGTGTCTAGAAATGCATAAATTAGTGTTTTTTTTAAAGCATCATGTTAGGGCCAGTGTGGTGTAGTGGTTAAGAGCGGTAGTCTTGTAATCTGGGGAACCGGGTTCACGTCTCCACTCCTCCACATGCAGCTGCTGGGTGACCTTGGGCCAGTCACACTTCTTTGAAGTCTCTCAGCCCCACTCACCTCACAGAGTGTCTGTTGTGGGGGAGGAAGGGAAAGGAGAATGTTAGCCGCTTTGAGACTCCTTAAAGGGAGTGAAAGGCGGGATATCAAATCCAAACTCTTCTTCTTCTTCTTCTCTAGGGGAAATTTGCAAAAATGTGTATATTATCATGAGGGCTGTTTTTAATGGCAAACTAATATGGAAATGTGGAGAACTGAACCCAAGCTTGGAAAAATGACAAAAAGAGAGAAACCAAAACAGACAGATCCACCCATCCTTAGAACACACATACACACAGAGAGCGAGAGAGAGAGAGCAAGAGAGATCTCAAGAACAGGTAGTTTCCAGCAACCTTAGCAGCCTTTGAAATTATCAGGAGCAAAATTGGTTTTGTTTTGTTTTAAAAAGAAACAGAACATAGGTTAGGAGTCTATGGTAAGCTGTCAAGTTTTGTAATTTGGAAGACTGTAGTTTTTGAGAGGTTTCTTCAGTAGACTTTCCGAAGGGGTTTCGTCATTGTGCTATTTCAGGTAATAATTTTGGGCTCGCTCTCGCTCTCCCCACTCCATGTCGTCTGACTTCATCTATTTAAAAATAACAAGCTGGTGCTGTCATATTCTCTTATCAGCATACTTTCACCATTTATCTGAGTATTCCGTGGGATGACCCACAGGTTCTTCTCATTAGAGGAGGCCTTTCATCTTTTTTCAGAATCTTCAAATCAAGATCAGTTAAGCTGAAGTATTTAATCTAGAGCCGTCTGCATTATTTGGGAGGAGATGCCACTTTATGTTCTGTCTGACTAGTGTTAAGAGCAGTATAATTTGTGCAGAGACTCAAAGAGATAGACAGGATGTGCTGCCAATCAGATGGAATACTGTTGTGGTTCCTGGGTTTGAAATGATCACTTAAAAGTCACATCGTGGACTTGTGGCATGACTGCTTCTCTACAGGAGTTTTGGCGAGAAAAACTCTAATGTTTAAAGTAAAAAAAAACCCAATTATGTTAATATGAACCACTATGACTGAGATATGTTAATGTTGAAAAATGGTCTACCGACTCAAGATAGTAAATTGGCTAATATACAGGATGTGATGGCTTGTGAATGCTCTTCGCAAGAAATGCTTCTGCTCACTCAGAGATACATATATACAGTCTTTATTTTACATATGTACAAGCAGCCCATTACAATCATGCATCCGAATCCTCCGGCTCAGATTCTGGGAGTGGCTTATGCCAGCTCCTTCTCCAACAGAAAAGGCGGGGAAGTTTCACATGACGCCTCTGCCCCCTCCTCTTTAACACTCTCCTTTCCTTGGCAGACGGAATAGGCATTGTTTCACTGTCTGTGCCAGAACTTCCTGTGGCTCTGGTTCAACATCTGTGAGCTGTCCCAGCTCCTGGCTTTCCCCTCTTTCCTCAGTCGCCACTTCCTGCCCCCCTCCCTCTGCCTGTCTCTGCTCCTCCCCTACATTCTCTGGCAATACCATGGCACAGGACTATTATAGTATGCAAGTAACAGACCAGGCATATTATCTTCCTGTTATTTGCCTTATCCATGCTCCCTTCCCAGACCCAGTGGCATAGGAAGGTCAGGTGGTACCCGGTGCGGAAAATTTCTTGTCTCTCCCCCCCCCCGGCAAAAATGGTTTGACTTTATTTCATTTTTTTTTTTACAAAGGAATGTGGATTCTGGGCCTCTGATAACAAGTAGGGGACTGTGGACAGATACTTAAATCTACAGGATGGATTGTGTTTTGGCTTGTACTATTTTATTTATATTTATTTAATAAAATTTATTTTTAAAAACCTGCAAATTGGTTTACCAAAACAAAAAACAAAAAACACCAAAGCAGTAAAATCAAGAAAAATTAACAATCCTACTGAAACACAAAACAAAACAAAAACAACGAAAAACATCCCAGTGAAAAGGGAATGCAAGAAAGCAAAGTGACTGTCTAACGAGGCCTTACAAATAGCGGGAGAGAGAAGGCAAGCAAAATGTGAGGGAGATAGTGAAAGATACAGGAAATTGAATGCAGATTTCCAAAGAATAGCAAGGAGAGACAAGAGGGTTGTCTTAAACGAGCTATGCAAAGAAATGGAGGAAAACAATAGAATGGGGAAAACCAGAAATCTGTTCAAGAAAATTGGAGATGTGAAAGGAACTTTTCGTACAAAGATTTCCATAATAAAGGACAAAAGTGGTAAGGACCTAACAGAAGCAGAAGACATCAAGAAGAGGTGGCAAGAATACACAGAGGAATTATACCAGAAATATATGGATGGCTCGTACACCCCAGGTTGCTGACCTTGAGCCAGACATCCTGGAGAGTGAAGTCAAATGGGCCTTAGAAAGTACTGCAAATAACAAGGCCAGTGGAAGTGATGGTATTCCAGCTGAACTACAGTGGTACCTTTGGTTAAGTATTTATTTTGTTCTGGAGGTCCGTTCTTAACCTGAAACTGTTCTTAACCTGAAGCACCACTTTAGCAAATGGGGCCTCCCACTGCCGCCGTGCCGCTGGAGCACAATTTCTGTTCTCATCCTGAAGCAAAGTTCTTAACCCGAGGTAATATTTCTGGGTTACCGGAGCCTGTAACCTGAAACGTATGTAACCTGAAGCGTATGTAACCTGAAGCATATGTAACCCGAGGTACCACTGTATTTAATTTTTTAAAATAATAATAATTTTTATTAATTTTAACGTATAAATTATAATACATACCACAAAACTTCACCACTTATACAATCTTTTTGGGACTTCCATCAGCACCTCTGATGATCCACCGTTTTAACCACTTCTTATGCATTTCTTAAATTCATATTGCCTTTAATTATCTTAACTAACCATCCTCCCCTTTATCCATTTTTGCAACAGTTCCAATAATTCTCCTCACAAACCTCCTCTTGCAAACCTACAAACGTAGTCTGATAATCACAAATACTTTTCAAATAGTCTGTAAATTTACGCCAGTCTTCTGTGAATTTCTGGTCCCGCAGATTTCGAATCCTTCCTGTTAGCTTATCTAGCTCTGCATAGTCCATTAATTTCATCCTCCATTCTTCTTTCATCGGTAATTCTTCTTGCTTCCATTTTTGTGCTAATAATATTCTTGCTGCTGTTGTTGCATATAAAAACAACTTACATTCCTTTCTATTTATATCACTTCCTACAATGCCCAGTAAAAATGCTTCTGGTTTCTTTATAAATGTATATTTCAACATTTTTTTCATCTCATTATATATCATCTCCCAGAAGTTTTTCACCTTTTTACATTCCCACCACATGTGATAAAATGTTCCTTCTTTTTCTTTACATTTCCAACATTTGTTGCTAACTATACATTTTGGCTAATTTAACGGGTGTAATATACCATTTATACATCATTTTCATTACATTTTCTTTTAAGGCATTGCATGCAGTAAATTTTAAACCTTCTTTCCATAATTTTACCCAATCACTCAGCTGTATATTATACCCAAAATCTTTAGCCCAAAGAATCACTTTACCTCCTCATCCTTCAAATGCCATTCAAGCAGCAATTTATACATTTTAGACAAAATTTTACAGTCGTTGCTTAATATCTCTAATTCAAACTTTGATCTATTTTCATCAAATCCCCTTGCCCGCGTGTGGTGCTGGGAGGAGCAGCACAGCACCGGCCTGGGCACTCGGCAGGTTGGCCTCCCCTTTGTCCCCAGCCTCCCTTGCATGAAGGTAGGATCCCCCTCCCTCCGCCATCCCCCTGCCAGTCTCTCTTGCATGGATAGGATCCCCCTCCCCCTGCTGTTGCAAACCTATAGGCTGAAGGAAAAACTCCACACAGCAATGGAAAAGGAAAGGTGTTTATTTTGTGCTAGCTAGCAGAATGTCTCAAAGGAATTATTTCCAAAGTCTGAGCCCAGAACACAGGGCTGAAATACCTTTTACAGTACATTATTGTCAGGGGTTCAGGAGCAGAGGCACAGGAAAGGGAGGAAATAGAGAGCGAGGGGGAGGAGTCCGAAGGAAATGTTAGCGATGACAGCGGTCCGAGGTCTCTGAGTCTTTCCAGCGAATCGGAAGATTCACAGAAAGGGGCTCCCTTGGTCAGAGCAAGGGGGTGCCGAGGGGGACACCCCAGGAAGAAGGGGCCAGAGGGGACTCAGAGAGCAGCAGTTGGAAATCAGGACCAGCGTCCACACCAGAGTGCAGTAGGGGGGAGGAGTCCCAGGCATCGGGATCAGGCGGCGCACTGCCAGTGGGAGGACATGAGTCAGGATTGGCCACGCCTCCATCGGGGAGCGAGGAAACGGTCGAGAGGAAGGTTGAAGGCTGGGCGCGCGCGCCAAGTTCAAATGTACAGGAGGGCGGCGCAGTTGGCAGCCCGGATAGGGAGCCAGGTCCCAAAGCCCGCCGAAAAGAGGGGGAGGAGTCAGGGGGTCAGCGTCAGAAGAATCCAGGAAGGAAGGGACCCCGGGGGGTAGCAGGACCCAGAGGAGAAAGGAGAGACGTAAGAGGTGGAGTAAGGCTAGAATCTTAAACTGGTGTACAGGGGCGGAGACTCAGATGGAGCTTCGCCGATCTAACCCCTAGACGTAGAGCTGGGGCGCTCCGGCTTGAAAATGGAAACTGTACTTCAATAAAGACTTTTGTACATTACTGCCGGCTAGCGTTGGTCCTCTGTGAGCTGGGACCTGGAGCCAGCTCTGACAGTAAGCTCCATCTCAAAAAGTTTTGCACCAAAAACCTCGTAACGTGAGTGGACGCAGCGGGGAAGAAGATTGGTGCTTCGCGAGCTCACAAAAGTCAGGCAAGATGACTACAGAACAGCAACTAGCAGCCCTGCAAAATGCAGTGACACAACTCAACGCGGAGGTACTCGCATCCAGGAAAAGGGAAGAGGAAGCGGCTGCCGCCTGCAGGGATCTCCAAGCCAGGTTGGAAGTGCTTGCTAAGCAGGGGCAACCGGGACCCAAATCAGAGGGGATTGGGCTGGGGAAAAGAGGAGGCAGCCTGGTATCTCATTTCGATGGGAATTTGCAGCAGTACCCTAACTTCCGAGCAGACGTGCTGTTTGCGCTGGAACTGCTGGATAAAGACTTTAGAGATGAGCAAGAGAAGGTGGGGTTTATCTTGTCCCATTTGCATGGGGAAGCTAAAGCGTGGCTGCGCAATCTGTGGAGAGATAAGGATCCGGCGCTCCAAAATGCGGATGCATTCATTAAAGCGATGGATTCGTGTTTTTATCAAATATAGACATTGATATCGCCAGAAAAGACATACATGGGCTCAAACAAGGCAGAGCCAGTGTAAGGCAGTACCATTCCCGCTTTTTGCATTAGTCCATGCGCTGGGATGGGAGAAGGATTCTGCCCCAGCCAGAGACCTTTTTGGGGAAGGCTTGAATGCAAATGTGAAAGATGAGATTGCAAGGGGGGAGAGACCAAAGAGCACTCAGGAGGTTGTCCGGCGGGCGCTGCAAATTGGGGTGCGTCTGGAAGAACGTCCATGGAATAGAGAAGAAGGACGTTGGGGACGTACGCCAGTGAGAGCACCTCCCCTTTTTTCCCAAGGATGCAGCGCGTGTGCAATCCCCACCTCCGCAAGGAGGGGGAGAGCAACCGATGGAGATTGGAGGCGCCAGGGCTCAGTCAGCAACCAGAGCCTTAACACCGGGAGCAGTCAAAGCGAAGCCTCCTAGAGGGAACAGGAAGTGCTACATCTGCGACAGTGCTCAGCACATGGCGAAAGAGTGTCCCCAGAGGCTCCACAAGCACACTGCAGCCTCAGCAACAGTAACAGAAGCAACTCAGCAGAGAGAACCACAGCAGGGAAACGACAGAGTCTGGTTGGAGGAAGAGGCACTGGGGCCCAACCAGACAAGTCAATGAAGCCGTCCCCAGAGATTTTGCAGCCCACAGACCCCTTCCCGCCCAAACCAGTGGTGCAGCTCACAGCATCGCTCCAACTACCCAATGGACTCACTATGGAAGTGCCGATTACCATTGACTCTGGTAGTAACGCAGACTTCATAGGACTGGATTTCCTTCAAGAGCACAACATAGCACTCCTGCCAGCCACGCTGCCTCTGAAGGTTGTCACGGTGGATGGCAGGGAATTGCTGGGGGGGCAGGTGGTGCAGCAAACGCCTCCGATGGTGATGCAAATTGGGAATCACCGAGAAGTCATCAGCTTCAATGTCACCCAACTGTCGGACACGCCTATAGTATTAGGCATGAGTTGGCTGCACAGGCACAGCCCAGCATTGGCGTGGTACCAGCGACAACTGACCTTCGGCTCCTCATACTGTGCGGAACATTGCATTCTGCCTAGCCCGGAAGGGGAAGAGGATGATCCGCAGCTACAATTAGGCACGCTGCAAGCAGTGCCACTCAAGTACGCAGCGTTTTTGGAGGTTTTCTGCGAGAAGGAAGCGGACAAGCTACCTCCCCACAGGTCTTATGACTGCAAGATTGACCTCCTGCCAGGGCGACGCTGCCAACCGGGAAACTGTATTCCATGTCTGAAGACGAGCTGCAGGAACTCAGGGAGTTCATAGACCTCAACTTGAAGCGCGGTTTCATCCAGGAGTCGAAGGCAGTGGGGGGGCAGTCCTGTATTCTTTGTGAAGAAGAAGGACACGCCCCAAAAAAGGCTTGTGGTGGACTATAGAATTTTGAACTCGAAAACCAAGCCCACAGCCTTTCCCATGCCCAAGATAGATGACCTGCTCGCAACGGTGAGGAAAGGACGCGTTTTCACAAAGTTGGATCTGCGAGGGCGTACAACCTGATTCGCATACGGGAGGGCGACGAATGGAAGACTGCCATGTTCACGCCCCTGGGCACCTATGAATACAGAGTTATGCCCTTTGGATTACAAAATGGCTCCCACTGTTTTCAAGCCTTCATGCATCACGTATTGGCGGGTCTCCTCTACAAGAAATGCGTCTGCTTCCTGGACGACATCCTGATATTTTCAGAATCAGAGGAGACCCACGAGGGAGACGTCAAGGAAGTTCTGCAGAGACTGCAGGAGCACAGGCTGTACGCCAAGCTGGAGAAGTGCCAGTTCGACATGAAGGAGGTAGATTTCCTGGGCTACAAGTTGTCGGACAAGGGGCTCGCCATGGACAGCGCCAAGGTTCGCTCAGTGTTGGACTGGAAGAGCCCGCGCAATCGGAAGGAGGTCCAGCGGTTTGTCGGTTTCGCCAACTTTTACCGCAAGTTCATCAAGGGGTTCGCGATGCAGACGGCGGCCATTACCGACACGCTCAGCTCCAAGAAGAAGAAGTTCATCTGGACGGAGCAAGCGGAGCAGTCCTTTCAGAAACTCAAGCGTCTCTTCTCGTCCGAAGAGCAGCTACTGCATGTGAATCCCAGCAGACCGATGAGGGTTGAAACGGACGCCTCAGACAGAGCCGTGGGAGCAGTACTGTTGCAGCAAGACCCGCATGGGGACTGGAGACCGTGTGCCTTCTACTCCAGGAAGCTCAGCAAGTCAGAGCAGAACTACACCATCTGGGACAGGGAGTTGCTGGCCATTCATGCAGCATTCAAGGCGTGGCGGCACTTCCTCATTGGAGCCAAACACACAGTGCAGGTCCGCACGGACCATAAAAACCTGGAGTACTGGCGCACGGCAAGGTTCCTGAACCAGAGGCACATACGATGGGCGGAGTTCTTTGCGGATTTCGACTTCAGGATAGAGTACATCCCAGGCGACAACAACATCATGGCGGATGCACTGTCCAGAAAGCCGCAATACCTCGAGGAGGCGGCACCAGCAGCGGCCAAGCACATTTTCGCACCGAAAGCGTGGGCGTGCGCTTCAGCAACCGTGGACCTGGATGCTGTACGTCGAGCACTGCAGGAGGACCCCTTCGCGCAAGCAAAGATGGCAGAGGTGCAAAGGGGCACGGCGGAGGACGACGAGTTCCAGATACGCGACGGATTGCTCATCCGCAGAGGGGCCCTCTACGTACCGGGAGACGACCTCCGCGCGAAAGTACTGCAGCAGTTGCACGACGCACCCACCGCCGGGCACTTTGGCAAAGAGAAGACGGTAGAATTAGTAGCCAGAGATTTTGGTGGCCCAAGATGCGGGGGGAAGTCGCGGATTACGTCTCGAGGTGCGACACCTGCCAAAGGGCCAAGTCAGTGCACAAACCGCCGGCGGGACTGCTCGAACCCCTGCAGACACCGCTCGAACCGTGGGAGAGGGTGGCCCTGGACTTTGTCACGGATCTACCCAGCTCGAGGGGCAAGACGGCAGTGCTAGTGGTGGTGGACATGTTCACCAAAATGGCCCACTTCATTCCGTGCGCGAAGGTGGCCACGGCGGAACAGACCGCCAAACTGTTCATAGACCACGTGTTCAGAGTTCACGGTCTGCCACGGTCTATCCTGTCCGACCGGGGCGACAGTTCATCTCGAACTTCTGGCAGAAGCTGATGGGTTTCCTGAACGTCAAGATCAACCTAGCGTCGGCGAGACACCCGCAGACGAACGGACAAGCGGAGCGAGTCAACGCCATCATGCAGCAGTACCTGCGATGCTACGCAAATCAGCAGCCGGCAACATGGGTGGACTACCTGCCGCTCGCTGAGTTCGCCTACAACAACACGAAGCACGTGTCCACGGGGTGACACCGTTCTTCGCCAACAACGGGAGGCATCCCAGAACCTTCCCGGGATTAGCGAGAGCCGGGGAGGGGGAGCCACAGGCAGCGGAAGCCTTAGCATCAGAGTTGCAGGAGGTTCACGAACAGCTTCGGAGGCAGTTAGAACTAGCAAAGCACGCATACAAACTGCAGGCTGACAAGCACAGGAGGGTTGGGGAAGACATACAGGTGGGAGACTGGGTTTGGTTAGCAGCCCAGGCAGTGCCGGCCAGATCGTTAGCGAAGAAGAAGCTAGGGCATAAGCAGCTAGGACCCTACCAAGTCGAGGCACAGGTCAATCCAGTGGCCTTCCGGTTGACACTGCCGGAGGGATCCAGAATGCACCCAGTTTTCCATAGATCAGTGCTCACGCCCTACAAAGCACCTCATAGATTTCAGGAGCCAGGAACGGCACCAGACCCGTTCAGGGAAACGCCCACAAGGGGGGGGTCGCCAAGGCGGGAACCCGTCAACGAAGTCACAGAGATTTTAGACTCGAGATGGGGGAGGAGGGAGTGGAATACCTCCTCGCCAAGGAAGGTACCTCGGCTAGCGCCAACAGTTGGGTGCCAGATTATGCTCTGGAGGAATCTTGGCTCAAGGACGAGTTCCATGCACTTTTCCCACACAGGCCCATGCCAGCCGAGTATTTCGACGACTGGCTTTTCACACCCACATTTTCAGCTAGCACATTCCAGGGGTTCACCTCGGACGAGGAACCGGCACTAGAAGCACGTTCCCCGGAGGGATCACCCTCGGGGTCTGCCTCAGACCGTTCCTATTGGTGGGACAATCAACCAGAGGAGCAGTGGCGCAGGAAGTGGTTGGGGGGTCCTTGGCAGGCAACGTCCCCGGAGGAGACCGGGGAGAGACGGACATGGACGTGTTGGGGGAGGACCTTGGGTTCGAGCACGGCGGCAAAGAGATGGAAGCAGAGGAAATTGAGGTCGGCGAGAGCACGGAGGACGAGCCGGACTTATCCGGCTGGATGCACGCCACGGGGGACGAACTGTATCCGGCACTCACCCCCACAACGACGGAGCACCCAGTACCCACACCTGAAGGAGGGGAGGGGGAAGGGGGGCTTCGAGGGGGATGGATGTCAGGGGTTCAGGAGCAGAGGCACAGGAAAGGGAGGAAATAGAGAGCGAGGGGGAGGAGTCCGAAGGAAATGTTAGCGATGACAGCGGTCCGAGGTCTCTGAGTCTTTCCAGCGAATCGGAAGATTCACAGAAAGGGGCTCCCTTGGTCAGAGCAAGGGGGTGCCGAGGGGGACACCCCAGGAAGAAGGGGCCAGAGGGGACTCAGAGAGCAGCAGTTGGAAATCAGGACCAGCGTCCACACCAGAGTGCAGTAGGGGGGAGGAGTCCCAGGCATCGGGATCAGGCGGCGCACTGCCAGTGGGAGGACATGAGTCAGGATTGGCCACGCCTCCATCGGGGAGCGAGGAAACGGTCGAGAGGAAGGTTGAAGGCTGGGCGCGCGCGCCAAGTTCAAATGTACAGGAGGGCGGCGCAGTTGGCAGCCCGGATAGGGAGCCAGGTCCCAAAGCCCGCCGAAAAGAGGGGGAGGAGTCAGGGGGTCAGCGTCAGAAGAATCCAGGAAGGAAGGGACCCCGGGGGGTAGCAGGACCCAGAGGAGAAAGGAGAGACGTAAGAGGTGGAGTAAGGCTAGAATCTTAAACTGGTGTACAGGGGGCGGAGACTCAGATGGAGCTTCGCCGATCTAACCCCTAGACGTAGAGCTGGGGCGCTCCGGCTTGAAAATGGAAACTGTACTTCAATAAAGACTTTTGTACATTACTGCCGGCTAGCGTTGGTCCTCTGTGAGCTGGGACCTGGAGCCAGCTCTGACAATTATGTATCAATCAAATCACCCCATGCATTTCTAACAAATTACCACCTGCCCTGTAATACCTTAACTGTTGCTTTCCGAATAATGTATCGCTTTTCCAAGTTTTTCTTTTTCTAAAAAAACATTTTTATTAGCAATTTCAACATATCAAAGTATCAGAACATATCCTATTCATTTCCCCCCTTTCCCCCCTTTATTTCCCCCCCTTTCCTCCCACTTCCCCATCAACCCCCCCCGAGACTTCCCTCAGCAACTCTCTCTGATTTCTCCACACATATTATTTTCAACATATTGTAAAATTGTATAAATCTTTATATTATCTGTCTACTATGTTAACAATCAATAAATTTGTGTATGTTTATTCAAAACCTGCCAAGAAGTCCAGTTCTTTTTGTTGTCTTTTTAAGTAATTCGTAAAAAGTTCCCATTCTTCTTTGAAATCGCAGTTGTCCTTCTCTTGCCATTTGTGTGTCAGTTTAGCCAGTTCCACATAGTTTATCAATTTCTCTTGCCACTGTTCTTTTGTCTGGGTTTCCTCATTCTTCCATCCTTGTGCTATCAAAACTCTTGCTGCTATTGTAGCATACATAAATTCCTTGTTTTCCTTGGCAGGTCTTGAGAGCCAGTGTGGTGTAGTGGTTAAGAGCGGTAGACGTGTAATCTGGGGATCCGCGTCTCCGTTCCTCTACCTGCAGCTGCTGGCTGACCTTGGGCTAGTCAAACTTCTTTGAAGTCTCTCAGCCTCACTCACCTCACAGAGTCTTTGTTGTGGAAAGGAAAAGGAGAATGTTTGCCGCTTTGAGACTCTTTCGGGTAGCGATAAGGCGGGATATCAAATCCAAACTCCTCCTCCTCCTCCTCCTCCTCTTCTTCTTCCTACAATTCCTAACAAAAATGCTTCTGGTTTTTTTTACAAATGTCATTTTAAACATTTTCTTCAATTCATTATATATCATTTCCCAATTTTTTTTTAACTTCTCTACATTCCCACGGCATATGATAAAAAGTCCCTTCTTTTTCTTTACATTTCCAACATGTATTTTGGTTTTATACATTTTTGCTATCTGTACTGGTGTTATGTACCATCCATACATCATTTTCATATAATTTTCTTTCAAAAGAGAACAGTCTGTAAATTTTAAATCTGTTTTCCACAATTTTTCCCAATCCTCAAATTGTATGTTATGTCCTATATCCTGTGCCTGTTTGATCATGACCGATTTTACCTCCTCATCTTTTGTTTCCCATTGTAGTAGAATACTATATGCACTCTTCAGCAGCTTCACATCTTCTTCTATGACCTTCTTTTGAAATCTAGAAGTGGTGTAGCTAAATCCTTTCTTATTGTCTTCTTTGTACATCTCGTGTAATTGCCTGTAGTGTAACCAACTGTGAAAATAGTCTTTTATTTCCTCATAGTCTTTTCGTTTCCATTTTCCTTCTTGATCCTTTAATAAATCTCTATATGTAAGCCACTTCCCTTTTTTGCCAAGTGGCTTGAGCAACAAAGCTTCAATTGGTGACAGCCACCAAGGTGTCTTTTGTACTATTAAATCTTTATATATAATGATTTCCTAATTATATGATTATAAAATCCTTTATGCACTTTTCCTTTCCCATACCATAAGTATGCATACCATCCAAATCTGTTACAGTGGTACCTCAGGTTACATACGCTTCAGGTTACATACGCTTCAGGTTACAGACTCCGCTAACCCTGAAATAGTGCTTCAGGTTAAGAACTTTGCTTCAGGATGAGAACAGAAATCGTGCTCCGGCAGCGCGACAACAGCAAGAGGCCCCATTAGCTAAAGTGGTGCTTCAGGTTAAGAACAGTTTCAGGTTAAGAATGGACCTCCGGAACAAATTAAGTACTTAACCTGAGGTACCACTGTATTATGACCTTCTAAATCCAAGTATGCATGCCATCCAAATCTGTTATCATGACCTTCTGAATCCAATGCTTCTCCCTTTTCCAGTTTTATCCAGTCCCTAATCCATACCAAACATGCAGCCTCATAATGCAATTTAAGGTCTGGGAGGGCAAAACCGCCTCTTTCTTTTGTATCTGTAAGTATCTTATGTTTAATCCTTGGCCTTCTCCCCCCCCCCCCATAAACTTAGAAATTTCCTTCTACCACCTTCTGAGGCAATCATCTTTCACCATTATTGGGACTGTCTGGAAGAGAAAGAGCATTTTTGGCAATACATTCATTTTTATCGCTGCTATTTTTCCTAATAGGGAAAGGTTCATTTTACTCCATATTTCTAAATTTATTTTTATCTCAAGCCACACTTTTTCATAATTATCTTTGTAGATATTTATATTTTCTGCTGTTAACCATATCCCTAAATACTTTACCTTTTTTCTCTTCTTCCTTCAAATTTTTGACTAATAACTTAGTTTTATTTCTGTTTAATTTAAATCCTGCCACTTCCCCAAATTTTTGAATCTTTTCTATAACTATAGGGAAATAATTTTTTGGCTCTTCCACTGTAATTACTAAATCATCAGCATATGCTTTCAATTTAAATTCACTTTTTCCAGTTTTTATCCCTGTGATCTCTTTATCTGCTCTTATATTTCTTGCAAGTACCTCCAGAACCAGAATGAACAATAACGGTGATAGTGGACATCCTTGTCTAGTTCCTTTTTGTATCTTACAATCCTCTATTATCACCTGATTTACAATCAATTTAGCTTTTTGTTCTGAATATATTGCTTGAATTCCTTTTAAAAAATTGAATCCACAATTAATTTCTTCCACTTTATTGTCTCTAACAATGTTAGAGTATTTGAGTATATTCCTCTATTTAAAAATTTTCCCCTTCCCTTTCTTATACAATTCTGAGAAATATTTTACAAATGCTGCTCTTATTTCCTTCATCTTGTCTGTGATCTTTCCATTTATATTTATTTTACTTATGGAATTTCTTTGTTCACTTTTCTTCAACTGCCATGCTAGCAGTTTTCCTGATTTGTTGGCATGCTCAAAATATTTTTGTTTCATTCATTTCATTTTCCAACTAATTTCTTCATTAACTATCATAGAATATTGAGTTTGTAATATTCTAATCGCCTGTTTAACTGACCCTTTATTTGCTTTCTTTGATAATTATTTCTCCTTTTCCACAATTTCATCTAGAATCTCTTTTTTCCTTTTTCCTTTCAATTTCTTTTTAAATGAGTTTTGTTGTATAAACAGTCCCTTCATTACCGCCTTACTTGCATCCCAGACCGCCTGCAATTTTGTCTGTCCTTGAATATTTATTTCAAAATAATCACTCAAGGCCTTTTTAACTTTTTCCATAAATTTTTGGTCATCTAATAAATCTTCATTCAGTCTCCATCTAAATGAAAGGTGACTTTGGAGTATGCATTCCCCTGCGTCCCCCCAGAAAAAAGTATGTTCTGCCAGGGGCAGGGTTATTTCTGGATCTGGAGCCAATAAGCACGCCAGTGGATGAAGAATAAGCAATGCTTTATTTGCATAAGGTTAACAGATAGCAGCAGGCATACAAAACACAAATTACAGCATACCAGAGAGGAGTCACACACAATCTCCCCTTCAGCTGCCTGGAGCTCCAGGTAGAGCAGCGAGAGAGACCCCTGGCCGACAGTCTCACAGCATCTGGTACCTCCATTTGTGAAGAAGCTCACTGAGCCCCTTCAGCCTACAGCTTTTATAGACAACGTTGATTTGATTGATTGCACCTGGTTAGCAGGCATCACTCATGATCAGCCTGGGACACCAGGTGCAACTAATGCAGAGCAGCTGAGAGTCTCCAACCCAATTCACTGCAACTGGGTATCCTCCCGAGTAGCCAATCAGCACTTAGAACACGGGACCCAGGAAACTCCTGACACAGATGTGTGAAAAACAAATTATACTATCATGTTTTAGCAAACCTTAAACCACGGATGTAAAAGGGAAAGAGACATGTCATCTAACTCCTCAAATTTACAATGGTCTTCCGCATTTCCCCTACAGTGTGTGTGTGTGTGTGTGTGTGTGTAATATATATATATATATATATATATGTCGGGGCTGCCTCAGGTCTCAGCTCACAAAAGACCAACGCCAATCTCTTCTTATATACAAAAGTGTTTATTGGAGTTCATTGTTTGCTTCACATCCGAGGCGCGCAGCCCCACGTCTGTTACGCTTAGACCGTTGAAGTCCCCTCTGAGTCAGTCCCTCCCCTGCACCAGTTTAAGAGGCTTGCTCTGCTCCACCTCTTTCTCTCTTTCCTTTTCCTCAGGGTCTTCCTGCCCGCTGGGGTTTCGCCCCTCCTGGATTCCCCTGACGCGGAATCCCCAGCTTGCTCTTCCCCCCTCCTGCGGGCTTTGGGACCTGGCCCCTCCTCCGGGCTCCCTGTACTTCCGCGCGCCTTCACATTTGAACTTAGCGCGCGCGCGCCCAACCTCTAACCTTCCTTTTGACAGCTACACTACTCCCTTCACTACTCCCCTTCCGGGAGGGTGGCTTGCTCCGACCTCCCTCCCTTCTCTGCTGCCGGAGCTGCTTCCCCTGATACACTGGAACCTCCACCCCCTTCGCTGCACTCTGGCGGGGAGGCTGGTCCTGACGCCCAGCTGCCACTTTGGGATCCTCCGCTGGCCCCCTGCTCCTGACACGTTCCCCCTGGGGCTCCCCTGGCCTTGACCACCGGTGCCCCCTTCTGGGAATCCTCTGATTCGCTGGAAAGACTCATGGAATCTCTTGAGTCATTGTCATCCTCTTCCTCGCTGTCCTGGGATTCATCCCCAT